ACGCATTAAGAAGGAAAGAAATTCCACAAATGAACAAGGCACACCTGTTCATTGAAATACATTCCAGGTGACTACCTCATGAAGCTGGTTGAGAGAATGCAAAGAGTGTGCAAAGCTGTCATCAAGGCAAAGGGTGGCTATTTGAAGAATCTCAAATACAAAATATATTTTGATTGTTTAACAGTTTTTTGGTTGCTACATGATTATATATGTGTTATTTCATAGTTTTGATGTCTTCACTATTATTCTATAATGTAAAATGTTTTACTAATAAAGAAAAACCCTTGAATGAGTAGGTGTGTCCAAACTTTTGACTGGTAGTGTATGTTACGGAAGTATTATTTCAGTGATATTTGTAGTCATGGTAATAAAACATTAGAACAAAGGACACAAAACAGAAAAAACGTAATTTAATTCATATATATTTTTTACTCTCATCGCTTCTCCATTCAACCATTTTACTGTTTTAAGCCGTTCCCACTTGTCCCTTTGTTGCACCTGGGAAGCACTTCATGATGTGGGGAGAAAGCTACAAATAGAACATAAAGAGCACATAGTACAGCTAGGGTTGGGTTTGGGCTCATAAATACACATTTTTTTTTTTTTTATGAAAAAACGTTTATGTGAAAAGCTTATCAGATTCAGTTTAATAAGAAATCCATGACTATTAATGCCCTATGTGCAATGATTGATTTATAAATGCAATTAATTTGACAGTTTATAGGCAGTCAGATGGTTCCTTAACCTGAAGGTAGTCTATGGACCAGGAGAAACTGTAATCCATGGTTCAGAGTTATTTAAATAACCACTATTAACTTCAAGGGATTTGGCCACAAACATTGAACTTTGTCTAATTGCCCCCATGACCCACTTCGTGTTTTTTTTTTAAAGGTGTAAAAAAGTGAACTATCCCTTTAACATCTTCAATTTATTCAATTGAAATTGACCCCAACCCTGTTATGGGGTATTCATTTTTAAAGTGATACTGAGAAATTCTTGGAGATTCTTGGAAGTTTTTCCACTTACCCAGAGTCAGATGAACCCATTAATCCCATTTTTTCTTTGTATGCAGTTTGGAGATTATTGAAATTAGCATGCCATGAGTCATTAGTTATTTTATTTTTTAAAATCAAGACAATACCTGCACACTGTCAAATGCTAATTTGCAGTCAATGAACAAAAACCTACTCACCAGTTATTGCGGCAGTTATTTTTCAGGATCCAATCTGTCTTTATTCAACCCTTTTGTCTTCGTGTTCAAATGATATAAATTCAGTGTGTCATAACTGATTCTCAAAAGTCATAATGACACAACCAGATATTTCAATTTGAGTTAGGTCTGACTCCGGCTTATCTGTATAATGCTACAAAAAAGACATTCAGTGCATTCGGAAAGTATTCAGACCCCTTGACTTTTTCCACATTCTGTTACGTTACAGCCTTATTCTAAAATTGTTTAAATTGTTTTTTCCCCTCATCAAAAACAGGTTTTTAGAAAATTCTCTCCCCCGATTGTTCAGTTTGGCCGGGCGGCCAACTCTAGGAATAGTCTTGGTGGTTCCAAACTTCTTCCATTTAAGAATGATGGAGGCCATTGTGTTCTTGGGGCACCCTTCCCCAGATCTGTGCTTCGACACAATCCTGTCTCAGAGCTCTATGGACAAATCCTTTGATCTCATGGCTTGGATTTTGATCTGACAGGCACTGTCAACTGTGGGACCTTATGTAGACAGGTGTGTGCCTTTCCAAATCATGTCCAATTAATTGAATTTACCACAGGTGGACTCCAATCAAGTTGTAGAAACATCTCAAGGATGATCAATCAATTTTCCCAAATTCAATCATATCTTTAGGAGTCACTGTAACTAGCTTGCTTACAGTTTGTGGTGAGTGAGTGTGTTCTTGCAGAAATACCTGCCCCCTTTCATTTTGAGCACCTGCCCCATGAAAGGTCTGTGCACGGCCCTGCATTTACACTGAATAAAAAATGCAACATGTAAAGTGTTGGTCCCATGATTCATGAGCTGAAATAAAACATTCCAGAAATATTCCATACACACAAAAAGCCTATTTATCTAAAATGTTGTGCACAAATTTGTTTACATCCTTGTTAGTGAGCATTTCTCCTTTGCCACCTGACAGGTGTGGCTGATTAAACAGCATGATCATTACACAGGTGCACCTTGTGCTGGGGACAATAAAAGGCCACTCTAGAATGTGCAGTTTTGTCACACAACACAATGCCACAGATGTCTCAAGTTTTGAGGGAGCGTGCAATTGGCATGCTGACTGCAGGAATGTCCACCAGAGCTGTTGCCAGAGAATTGAATGTTAATTTCTCTACCATAAGCCGCCTCCAACGTCGTTTTCGAGAATTTGGCAGTACATCCAACCGGCCTCACAACCGCAGACCACGTGTAACCACGCCAGCCAGGACCTCCACATCCGGCTTCTTCACCTGCGGGTCTGTCTGAGACCAGCCACCTGGACAGCTGATGAAACTGTGGGTTTGCACAACTGAATAATTTTTGCATAAACTGTCAGAAACCGTCTCAGGGAAGCTCATCTGCATGCTCGTTGTTCTCACCAGGGTCTTGACCTGACTGCAGTTCGGCATCGTAACCGTCTTCAGTGGGCAAATGCTCACCTTCAATGGCCACTGGCACGTTGGAGAAGTGTGCTCTTCACGGATGAATCACGGTTTCAACTGTACCGGGCAGATGTCAGACAGCGTGTTTGGCATCGTGTGGGCAAGCGGTTTGCTGATGTTAACATTGTGAACAGAGTGCCCCATGGTGGGGGTGGGGTTATGGTATGGGCAGGCATAAGATACGGACAACGAACACAATTGCATTTTATCAATGGCAATTTGAATGCGCAGAGATACCGTGACGAGATCCTGAGGCCCATTGTCGTGCCATTCATCCGCTGCCATCAGGACTTGTACACAATTCCTGGAAGCTGAAAATGTTCCAGTTCTTCCATGGCCTGCATACTCACCAGACATGTCACCCATTGAGCATGTTTGGGATGCTCTGGATCGACTTGTACGACAGCGTGTTCCAGTTCCCGCCAATATCCAGCAACTTTGCACAGCCATTGAAGAGGAGTGGGACAACGGTCCACGGTCCAGATGGAACAAGATAAATGGATACCTCAATTGAGATTGATTCCTTTCCTCCATGATGACTGATCCTGCATGACATAAGAGGGATCTTATCCAGTCCTTTAATCAGTGATTGTGAAAGAAAGGAAACGAAGAAAGGAAACCAAAGTAGAGTATTGAAACATCCCTCTGGATGTAAGGAGGGTGAAAGCTAAGCTCCTGTCCTTCAGGCTGAAAGCTAAGCTACTGACCTAGAGGCTGAGAGCTAAGCTACTGTCCTAGAAGCTGAAAGCTAAGCTACTATTCTAGAGGCTGAAAGCTAAGCTACTGTCCTATAGGCTGAACGCTAAGCTACTGTCCTAGAGGCTGAAAGTTAAGCTACTGTCCTAGAGGCTAAATGCTAAGCTACTGTCCTAGAGGCTAAATGCTAAGCTACTGTCCTAGAGTCTAAATGCTAAGCTACTGTTCTAGAGGCTGAACGCTAAGCTACTGTCCTAGAGGCTAAATTCTAAGCTACTATCCTAGAGGCTAAATGCTAAGCTACTGTCCTAGAGGCTGAAAGCTAAGCTACTCTCCTAGAGGCTGAAAGCTAAGCTACTGTCGTGTAGTCTCTCTCGCTGGCTTCCAGTCATCAAATTCACTATTCTTGTCTAGAATTGCTGGGTTTGAGCCTAGCCCATCACTAGCCAATAAGGAAAGACCTCCATCTAGTGGCTGATGATGTCAGTGACTCACCCAGACTAGAGTGAAGCATTGTGGGATTGCAGGGTATAAATATCCCTCCATCCCTTGTCTCAGATTCTTACTGAAGACAGAGTGAGTTAATGTCCATCATGTCATTCTGTTGTATAGGCTACGTCCCAAATGGCACCCTATTCCCTATGTAGTGCACTACTTTTGACCAGAGCCCTACGGGTGAGCCCAGAGACCTACAGTGCACTGTATAGGGAATAGGATGCCACAAAGGCATACAGTACAGCACTGTACCACTGTTGTCCTGGCAACGATTCACAGAACAAGGCCAGATAGATTAGTTTGCCTGCCAGTGACTGTCTTTGCCTCCCTCTTTCCCTCCGTCCCCTATTTCTCCTGCACTGAATATTTCTTATCCATTTAGCTTGCTCTGGCCCAAAATGGCACCCTATTCCCTATATAGTGCAATAGTGTTGACCAGAGCCCTATGGGCCCAGGTAAAATGTAGTGAACTACATAGGGAATTGGGTGCCATTTGGGACTCAGACTGGCTGCTTGCATTCAGCATTGTGTAGTGTGGTAGTGGGGTGGGTATAATTAAAGTGACACAACTGCAGTACGTGACACTCAGTAGCTAAAGAGAGCAGAGTAGTACTCCAGGGTCTGTGAGCTGTGAGAGACATTTAAAAGGGAACTAGCCGTTTCAGTACAGCAGCGAGCCACAGAGAGAGAGAGGAGGATAGAGCTTCTCAGTATGCCGTAGAACATCCATGTTTCTAATCTAGCTTGTAAAGGACCCTGATGGGAACTGGGAAAGAGAAATGTGTTTTATATTCTCACAGATTTAACTGTGTTATTTGGATTGTGCACATCAGTGCTTTCCACTTCACTGGATCTGGATGCAGGATCTAGCCAGCCCAGAACTGCAGCAAGTCAGCTGGTTTTATCCGTTTACCCCAAATTGCTTTTTACTCCCTTTTCTCTTCTGTTCGCTTGAAATGCGCAGATGAGCAAGAGGCAGTCGGTCAGCGGCACAGTGAGCACAGGGGACCAGGAGGACATACAGAACAGTACAGGCATCTTGAAATAGAAATATAAAAGGAGGAGAGGAAGAGGAGGAGGAGGAGGAGGAGGAGGAGGAGGAGGAGAGTGTGTTGTGTGGCAGAGCTGTGGTATGTCCTGCTCAGTGCCTAGCAGTAACATGGCCGTGATACAGAAGAAGGAACAGAGAGAGACCCCCAGCAAGAAGACAGCACCCCAAGAAGACAGAAAGGGTGTTTCTACCAGAGATACTCAAGACAACCAGAAAAAGGACAGCAGAGCCGGGAGACAGGGAGGTGAGTACTGTAGCGTTGATATGGTTGTTTCTTACTGCAGGGGTTACAGGGTGGTGGGTAGCTGTAGCTTTGCTATGGTGAGGATGATAGCTTTGCTGTTGGGGTGTTCACTGTGTTTATAGAATGACATGGAGGTCATTGACGTGAGGTTGGTATCGTAGCTTTGCCGTGCTGTTTACTGTGTTTATATACAGGGCAGGCTGTCTAAAGCAGAATCAGACAGAATCAGCCTCTCCCTTCTAGTTCATCATCAGTGAGGATATGTTCCATCATGTATCTAGTAAAAGCATGAGCTGGCGCACACCCAGAGAACATTATTTAGTGTAGAGGTGCTGACCAACGGAGAATAAACTGTAAAAACAAATGAAGAGAGTTGCACACTCTATCTATATCTCCCAGTAATTGATTGGGTAAACTAGGTGGTTTCTCATCCAATAAATGACTGGGAGTTTATACATAGAGTGTGCGACTCTCTTTATTTGTTTATATAACCATCATGTATCTAGGCCACGTAATAAAGTTATCTTACCTTAGATTTATTCCGTAGAATGTCTGCCTGACATGTACCAATGGATCAGATGATCTGATATTGCCTCATATCTGTAGATAGACTTTCATCATATTCTCTACTGCCATTTTGTTTTGTAAACAGTGAGGTAATGAAGTAGCTTATTGAATCACACTCTTTCTCTGCTGTGGTAAACATCAACACGCATCATAAGACTGAAGCCCATTATTATAATATCCATTATTAAAACATCCATTATTATAACATCCATTATTATAACATCCATTATTATAACATTGAGTGTCAGGGAAGATCATTTTCGTGTGTCTGTCTCAAGCAAAAGAAATATACTTTCTTATGTACGTCTCTTGCACCAACATGTTGAGGCTTATCACCGGTCTGTTATCTTATCAACATGTTGAGACTTATCACTGGTCTGTTATCTTATCAACATGTTGAGACTTATCACTGGTCTGTTATCTTATCAACATGTTGACTATCACTGTTCTGTTATCTTATCAATGTGGACTTATCACTGTTTATCTTATCAACATGTTGAGACTTATCACTGGTCTGTTATCTTATCAACATGTTGAGACTTATCACTGGTCTGCTATCTTATCAACATGTTGAGACTTATCACTGGTCTGTTATCTTATCAACATGTTGAGACTTATCACCGGTCTGTTATCTTATCAACATGTTGAGACTTATCACTGGTCTGTTATCTTATCAACATGTTGAGACTTATCACTGGTCTGTTATCTTATCAACATGTTGAGACTTATCACTGGTCTGTTATCTTATCAACATGTTGATACTTATCACTGGTCTGTTATCTTATCAACATGTTGAGACTTATCACTGGTCTGTTATCTTATCAACATGTTGATACTTATCACTGGTCTGTTATCTTATCAACATGTTGAGACTTATCACTGGTCTGTTATCTTATCAACATGTTGAGACTTATCACTGGTCTGTTATCTTATCAACATGTTGAGACTTATTACTGGTCTGTTATCTTATCAACATGTTGAGACTTATCACTGGTCTGTTATCTTATCAACATGTTGAGACTTATAACTGGTCTGTTATCTTATCAACATGTTGAGACTTATCACCGGTCTGTTATCTTATCAACATGTTGAGACTTATCACTGGTCTGTTATCTTATCAACATGTTGAGACTTATCACTGGTCTGTTATCTTATCAACATGTTGAGACTTATCACTGGTCTGTTATCTTATCAACATGTTGAGACTTATCACTGGTCTGTTATCTTATCAACATGTTGATAAGGCTAGAGGCTGTCATGGCTTAAGGCCTGTATCAAGTACAACCAGTAGATTTTCTAGAAACTGGAACGATATGACCTATCTGATTCTAAGACATATTTGTCTAAGGTTGTGTCTCAGATTTTGCCAGCAGGTATAAACCATAATGATGCTGTTATAATGTAAAACCTGTCATGAACTGTAAGTCCACCTTATAATGTCTTATAACATCTCACAATGATCCTGACTAAATAAGAGTCATTTTTTGTCAGCTGAATGTCAGAGAGACCTGAACATGATGTTCTCTTTAATTCTTTCTTTCATACCAGAAAAAGGCAATGAAGACATAAAGCCCAATAATTCAGAGAAGAGAAGAGCAGTCATCTGTGTCCCTGCCTCCATCAAATCAGCTGTGATCAGTAACAACACAACCAGTCCTGGAAACCCAGCAGGTCTTACACCAGTGCTCTCCCTCTCCCTCTCCCTCTCTATCTCTACACTGAGAAAAAAAGTATTCCATAGGGGTTCTTCGGCTGTCTCCATAGGACAAACATTTTTGGTTCCAGGTAGAACGCTTTTTGGTTCCAGGTAGAACGCTTTTGGGTTCCATGTAGAACCCTCTGTGGAAAGGGTTCTAGATGGAACCCAAAAGGGTTCTACCTGGAACCATAAAAGGTTATTCAAAGGGTTCTCCTATGGGGCCAGCCAAAGAACCCTTTCAGTTTCTAGATAGCACCTTTTTTTTCTAAGTGTATCTCTATCTGTCTCTCTCTCTCTCTGTGCCTGGGGTACTGTTTGTTCTTTGTGGGTCAGTCATCATGAGTTCTCTTCCTCTGAGGTTCACCACTGTTATCAAAACATGAATTTCATGCTTTATTATCATGGAACAGTTTGAGTATAAGCTGTCATTGTGCCTTCATACAAACCTTTCCAATGTTATTTATTGTCTTAACTCTTTATTGAAACTTAAAAAATGTCCCCCAATTGTTAACCTAATGTTATTCTGGCCAGACTGAATGAAATTGAGTTTATGGAGCAGCTAGCTACAGTCAACCCATCTTAAATCCCCTGTCATCATCACTGATGTTGATCACTGATGTCACCAACCCATACTGTATGTACCGTGACGTAGAGTGAATGGTCACATCTTTTCTAATATTCCAGGGCCACAGGCGCTGAAGGTTGATGAGAGGCTGAGACTAGCGAAGGAGCGGAGGGAGGAGCAGGAGAATCAGCTTGGTATGTGTAGCCACACATGATGACCCTACATCTAATACACCTATGAGACCACTCAAATGTCAGTCACTTATTTTAGTAATTCCTCTGAAGTATTTTGGTAGCCTGGTCCCAGATCTATTTGTGCTTTCTTCTTGCCAGCTCCCATGGTCACTGTCATGCCAAATTAGTTTATTAGGAGTTATCTATACTGCACAAAGATCTGGTACCAGGGTAGAATTTTGGTGGCTACTAAGTCCCACAATGTGTTTGCAGTGTCCAGAGAGCTGAGCTGGTTGGCTCGGGAGGAGCGGGCCAGGCGTCTCTATGAGCAGCGGCTGGAGGAGAGGAAGAGGAGGCTGCAGGAGCAGAGAGAGAAGGAGGAGAAGCGAAGGACAGCTCTTGAGCGGAGGGAGGAGCTTAAAAAACAGCTTAGTATGTAGCCACCACCCATGATGATGGTGGTTCTCAACCTGAGGTACTAGTCCCCCCAGGCGGTACCTGGCCTATACCCAGGGGGTACCTGGCCTATACCCAGGGGGTACCTGGCCTGTACGCAGGGGGTACCTGGCCTATACCCAGGGGGTACCTGGCCTGTACCCAGGGGGTACCTGGCCTGTACCCTGGGGGTACCTGGCCCGTACCCAGGGGGTACCTGGCCTTCTGGGTACCTGGCCTATACCCAGGGGGTACCTGGCCCGTACCCAGGGGGTACCTGGCCTATACCCAGGGGGTACCTGGCCTATACCCAGGGGGTACCTGGCCTGTACCCAGGGGGTACCTGGCCTGTACCCAGGGGGTACCTGGCCTATACCCAGGGGGTACCTGGCCTGTACCCAGGGGGTAACTGGCCTATACCCAGGGGGTAACTGGCCTATACCCAGGGGGTACCTGGCCTGTACCCAGGGGGTAACTGGCCTATACCCAGGGGGTACCTGGCCTGTACCCAGGGGGTAATTGGGAAGACTCATAAGAACATAGGCACAATGAACAGCTAAATGTGATTTAGGGCTCTGTAACCAAAGGAGGTTGAGAACCACGGACCTATGATTTAGTTAAATAAATAAACCAAACTAAACTCCACTTAATGTGTATGTAGTTTCCAGAGAGCTGGGCCGGTTGGCTCGAGAGGAGCGGGCCAGGCGTCTCTATGAGCAGCAGCTGGAGGAGAGGAAGAGGAGGCTGCAGGAGCAGAGAGAGAAAGAGGAGAAGAGGCGCACTGCCGTGGAGGAGAAAAGGAGGCAGAGGATGAAGGAGGAGACAGTGAGTTCTTGTGCCTGAGGGGTCAGATGGAACAGTAGTTGCTTCTGATTAGGTGTCTATTGTGGGCATCAGTGTTGCTTTACAGCTTTTTACAAATAAGCAGTTTTTCCACAGAAAATAAAATGTACTAGTGTAAGTTGAGGGTCTGAGTACAGGTGGATGGATGACCTTCTGTAGGAGCAAGGACTGGATGGAGACGGATAACTATTTAGCAGCTTTAATGGTCAAACCACATTGAACATCACCAGCCACCGGAACTAGAACTGTCTGTCACTTCCTGTATCAATAAAGCTTAACCCCACACAATTAAAGAATTGGCCAATAGGAAAACAGATAATTCGTTACCAGGTAAAGAAATAGGTAAACACAGTTATTTCCTGTAACACAGATTCACCACAAATCAGCAATGTCTATAACTGCCATATAAATGAAATTATTACTCAGGAAATAATCCTACACTAGTAATTCCAGAAAACAGATACTGTTTTCCACATTTTGTGTACATATTTGAAGCTAAACGGTTTTAAGGCTCAATACGATGTTATGGATCTTGGACCAAGTTACTGTATCACTAGTCTTGCTTGCCAAACTCATACAGTGGATGTGAGAAGAGACTACTGCATCTCTGACACTGAGGCTTGTTGTTGTCTGAAGGAGCGCTATGAGTCTGTGGTGAAGAAGACCTTGGAGAAGAGCCAGAGGGCCAAACAGAGACTGAGCCAGGGCTCTCGAGGAAGGAAGACCGACAACAAAAGCGGTAAATCAATTAAGGCTGTGTCTCAAATGGCTCCCTATTTCCCAGCTCATTCTTTTAACCTTCACTTTCTTAACTTTCCTCCTATTTCCTACCCTTTCTTACCTGTATTTTCTATCTCTCTTGTATTTTTCTATATCTCTTGTATTTTCTATCTTTGTCCTGTATTTTATATCTCTATTGTATTTTATATCTCTCTTCTATTTTATATCTCTGTCTGGTATTTTATATCTCTCTTGTATTTTCTCTCTCTGGTCGTGTATTTATATCTCTCTTGTATTTTATATCTCTGTCTTGTATTTTATATCTCTGTCTTGTATTTTCTATTTCTCTTGTATTTTCTCTCTGTCTTGTATTTTATATCTCTGTCTTGTATTTTATATCTCTCTTGTATTTTATATCTCTGTCTTGTATTTTATATCTCTGTCTTGTATTTTATATCTCTCTTGTATTTAATATCTCTGTCTTGTATTTTATATCTCTGTCTTGTATTTTATATCTCTCTTGTATTTGATATCGCTGTCTTGCATTTTCTATCACTGTCTTATATTTTATATCTCTCTTGTATTTTATATCTCTGTCTTGTATTTTATATCTCTCTTGTATTTAATATCTCTGTCTTGAATTGTATATCTCTCTTGTATTTTATATCTCTGTCGTATTTTATATCTCTGTCAGTGAGGGAAAAAAGTATTTGATCCCCTGCTGATTTTGTATGTTTGCCCACTGACAAAGAAATGATCAGTCTATAATTGTAATGGTAGGTTTATTTGAACAGTGAGAGACAGAATAACAACAAAAAAATTGATTTTCATTTTAATGAGGGAAATAAGTATTTGACCCCCTCTCAATCAGAAAGATGCATGGTTCCCAGGTGTCTTTTATACAGGTAACGAGCTGAGATTAGGAGCACACTCTTAAAGGGAGTGCTCCTAATTTCAGCTTGTTACCTGTATAAAAGACACCTGTCTACAGAAGCAATCAATCAATCAGATTCCAAACTCTCCACCATGGCCAAGACCAAAGAGCTCTCCAAGGATGTCAGGGACAAGATTGTAGACCTACACAAGGCTGGAATGGGCTACAAAACCATCGGCAAGTAGCTTGGTGAGAAGGTGACAACAGTTGGTGCGATTATTCGCAAATGGAAGAAACACAAAAGAACTGTCAATCTCCCTCGGCCTGGGGCTCCATGCAAGATCTCACCTCATGGAGTTGCAATGATCATGAGAACGGTGAGGAATCAGCCCAGAACTACACGGGAGGATCTTGTCAATGATCTCAAGGCAGCTGGGACCATAGTCACCAAGAAAACAATTGGTAACACACTACGCCGTGAAGGACTGAAATCCTGCAGCGCCCGCAAGGTCCCCCTGCTCAAGAAAGCACATATACAGTCCCGTCTGAAGTTTGCCAATGAACATCTGAATGATTCAGAGGAGAACTGGGTGAAAGTGTTGTGGTCAGATGAGACCAAAACCGAGCTCTTTGGCATCAACTCAACTCGCCGTGTTTGGAGGAGGAGGAATGCTGCCTATGACCCCAAGAACACCATCCCCACCGTCAAACATGGAGGTGGAAACATTATGCTTTGGGGGTGTTTTTCTGCTAAGGGGACAGGACAACTTCACTGCATCAAAGGGACGATGGACAGGGCCATGTACCGTCAAATCTTGGGTGAGAACCTCCTTCCCTCAGCCAGGGTATTGAAAATGGGTCGTGGATGGGTATTCCAGCATGACAATGACCCAAAACACACAGCCAAGGCAACAAAGGAATGGCTCTAGAAGAAGCACATTAAGGTCCTGGAGTGGCCTAGCCAGTCTCCAGACCTTAATCCCATAGAAAATCTGTGGAGGGAGCTGAAGGTTCGAGTTGCCAAACGTCAGCCTCGAAACCTTAATGACTTGGAGAAGATCTGCAAAGAAGAGTGGAACAAAATCCCTACTGAGATGTGTGCAAACCTGGTGGCCAACTACAAGAAACGTCTGACATCTGTGATTGCCAACAAGGGTTTTGCCACCAAGTACTAAGTCATGTTTTGCAGAGGGGTCAAATACTTATTTCCCTCATTAAAATGCAAATCAATTTATAACATTTTTGACATGCGTTTTTCTGAATTTTGTTGTTGTTATTCTGTCTCTCACTGTTCAAATAAACCTACCATTAAAATTATAGACTGATCATGTCTTTGTCAGTGGGCAAACATACAAAATCAGCAGGGGATCAAATACTTTTTCCCCCTCACTGTATATCTCTCTTGTATTTTATATCTCTGTCTTGTATTTTCTCTCTGTCTTGTATTTTCTCTCTCTGTCTTGTATTTTCTATCTCTGTCTTGTATTTTCTCTCTCTGTCTTGTATTTTCTCTCTCTGTCTTGTATTTTCTCTCTCTGTCTTGTATTTTCTATCTCTCTTGTATTTTCTATCTCTCTCTTGTATTTTATATCTCTGTCTTGTATTTTCTCTCTCTGTCTTGTATTTTATATCTCTGTCTTGTATTTTCTATCTCTCTTGTATTTTATATCTCTGTCTTGTATTTTATATCTCTGTCTTGTATTTTCTCTCTCTGTCTTGTATTTTATATCTCTCTTGTATTTTCTATCTCTGTCTTGTATTTTATTTCTCTGTCTTGTATTTTATATCTCTGTCTTGTATTTTATACCTCTCTTGTATTTTCTATATTTTCTCTGTCCCTGTGTATTGTCTTTTCTCTACTATGCTTGGCTCTGCTGTAGCTCCTCGCCACTCCCCCCTGACTGCCTGGGAGAGGGCTCTGGTCTGCCGCCTCCTCACCCCAACATGCTCCTACCTAGCCAGGAGCAGGAGTCATAGTTGTCAGTCAAGAGAAGAGGAAGGTACTCTCCAAAGGCCTGTAGAGTAACAGTTATACACTGATTGTACAAAACATTAGGAACACCTGCTCTTTCCATGACATGGACTGACCAGGTGAATCCAGGTGAAAGCTATGATCCCTTATTGATGCCACATGTTAAATCCACTTCAATCAGTGTAGATGAAGGGGAGGAGACAGGTTAAAGAAGGATTTTTAAACCTTAAGACAATTGAGACATGGATTGTGTATGTGCCATTCAGAGGGTGAATGGGCAAGACAAAATATTTAAGTACCTTTGAACGGGGAATGATAGTAGGTGACAGGCGCACTGGTTTGAGTCAAGAACTGAACACTGCTGGGTTTTTCACGCTCAACAGTTTGTCCACCAACAGTTTGTCCACCACCCAAAGGACATCCAGCCAACTTGGAGTCAACATGGGCCAGCATCCCTGTGGAACGCTTTCGACACCTTGTAGAGTCAATGCCCCCGACGAATTGAGGCTTTTCTGAGGGCAAAAGGGGGGGTGCAACCTCAATATTAGGAAGGTGTTCCTAATGTTTGGTATACCCAGTGTATATAGACATTTATAAAGACCAGATCTCAATCCAAGAAAAAGGACATAGCATCAATAAAGTGTATTTGGTTAAATTAATTGATTTTAGGGGCATTGACGTTCCAATATGGATTTGGACAATGCTTACTTACAGTGGGGAAAATAAGTATTTAGTCAGCCACCAATTGTGCAAGTTCTCCCACTTAAGAAGATGAGAGAGGCCTGTAATTTTCATCATAGGTACATGTCAACTATGACAGACAAAATGAGAATTTTTTTTCCAGAAAATCACATTGTAGGATTTCTAATGAATGTATTAGCAAATTATGGTGGAAAATAAGTATTTGGTCAATAACAAAAGTTTCTCAATACTTTGTTATATACCCTTTGTTGGCAATGACACAGGTCAAACGTTTTCTGTAAGTCTTCACAAGGTTTTCACACACTGTTGCTGGTATTTTGGCCCATTCCTCCATGCAGATCTCTAGAGCAGTGATGTTTTGGGGCTGTCGCTGGGCAACACGGACTTTCAACTCCCTCCAAAGATTTTCTATGGGGTTGAGATCTGGAGACTGGCTAGGCCACTCCAGGACCTTGAAATGCTTCTTACGAAGCCACTCCTTCGTTGCCCGGGCGGTGTGTTTGGGATCATTGTCATGCTGAAAGACCCAGCCACGTTTCATCTTCAATGCCCTTGCTGATGGAAGGAGGTTTTCACTCAAAATCTCACGATACATGACCCCATTCATTCTTTCCTTTACACGGATCAGTCGTCCTGGTTCCTTTGCAGAAAAACAGCCCCAAAGCATGATGTTTCCACCCCCATGCTTCACAGTAGGTATGTTGTTCTTTGGATGCAACTCAGCATTCTTTGTCCTCCAAACACGACGAGTTGAGTTTTTACCAAAAAGTTATATTTTGGTTTCATCTGACCATATGACATTCTCCCAATCCTCTTCTGGATCATCCAAATGCACTCTAGCAAACTTCAGACGGGCCTGGACATGTACTGGCTTAAGCAGGGGGACACGTCTGGCACTGCAGGATTAGAGTCCCTGGCGGCGTAGTGTGTTACTGATGGTAGGCTTTGTTACTTTGGTCCCAGCTCTCTGCAGGTCATTCACTAGGTCCCCCCGTGTGGTACTGGGATTTTTGCTCACCGTTCTTGTGATCATTTTGACCCCACGGGGTGAGATCTTGCGTGGAGCCCCAGATCGAGGGAGATTATCAGTGGTCTTGTATGTCTTCCATTTCCTAATAATTGCTCCCACAGTTGATTTCTTCAAACCAAGCTGCTTACCTATTGCAGATTCAGTCTTCCCAGCCTGGTGCAGGTCTACAATTTTGTTTCTGGTGTCCTTTGACAGCTCTTTGGTCTTGGCCATAGTGGAGTTTGGAGTGTGACTGTTTGAGGTTGTGGACAGGTATCTTTTATACTGATAACAAGTTCAAACAGGTGCCATTAATACAGGTAACGAGTGGAGGACAGAGGAGCCTCTTAAAGAAGAAGTTACAGGTCTGTGAGAGCCAGAAATCTTGCTTGTTTGTAGGTGACCAAATACTTATTTTCCACCATAATTTGCAAATAAATTCATTACAAATCCTACAATGTGATTTTCTGGAATTTTTTTCTCTCAATTTATCTGTCATAGTTGACGTGTACCAATGATGAAAATTACAGGCCTCACTCATCTTTTTAAGTGGGAGAACTTGCACAATTGGTGGCTGACTAAATACTTTTTCCCCCCACTGTAATTACTTATTTACATGACCAGATTTCCCACCAAAATGAAAAGCTCAGTATCGTTGCTAGCAAGCAAATTAAAATGATCTACTAACTCTTTGCTTCCTTTCCTCTTCTTTTTCAACCATTTTTGGGCACACTTACATCCTTTCACTGTATCACTTGCTAACCGTCCACCCCATTGCTCCACAACAATGAAACAAACTGGTTCAGTTGTCCATGTTTGTCCCCGTTCAGTTTCATGCCACTCCATGCCTGCCACTGCCACCAACTCTCACAAATCACCACACCGCTCTGGACCACCTGACCACCACTGGGTGCAGTCAGGCCTCCAGGCAGACTACCGGTCTGGACCACCTGACCACCACTGGGTGCAGTCAGGCCTCCAGGCAGACTACCGGTCTGGACCACCTGACCACCACTGGGTGCAGTCAGGCCTCCAGGCAGACTACCGGTCTGGACCACCTGATCACCACCGGGCACAGTCACTCTTCCAGGCAAATCTCCGGGCAGACTACAGGTCTATCATCCGGGCAAACTACCAGGTAGCCGCCTCCCTCAGTCCCAGCCATACGCTCTTAGAAAAAGAGGAGAACCCTATTCGGAGAACCCTATTTGGTTCCAGGTAGAACCCTTTTTGGTTCCAGGCAGAACCCTTTTGGGTTCCATGTAAAACCCTCTGAACATGGAACTGAAAAGGGTTCTTCAAATAGTTATCCTATGGGGACAGCTGAAGAACCTTTTAGGTTCTAGAATAACCTTTTTTTCTAAGAGTGTACCGGCAACAGACCCATCATCGTGGCACAGGTAATATTACATCACAGGTTATATAACATCACAGGTAATACCTTCTGGAAATGTAATTGTAAACATAGAGATAGATAGTTGAACCTCTATGATTGCTAAATGCTTGGGTCGACTGGGTTGGTGGGATGGTGGTGTTGGTTTGTCTCCACGTAATGTACGAACTTGTGGGAAATGATTTCCTTGGAGGAAGACAATAAACTCTATATTCTATTCTATCCATTCATCATGTATACTGGATTATTGGACGATATTCACTGTCATACTCTACCAGAGAGTCACAATTTTCTATGCATTTTCTAAGATACAACATTTATTAGTTATAAGCCTAAATCACTTTGATGTCTTTCTGCAGTCCCAAAAAGACTGCAGTAAAATGATCTTGTAACATGGCTGTTGATTTATTATTAAGTTAAAAGCAGCACAGCAGAAGGAGAGTGAGAGGACGGTCAGACAGCAGCCTTACATAACCAATGCTCCCGTGAAAGTGTTACCCACAAACCCACAGAGCAGAGATGCAGTGCCCTCTCCAGAACGGTATGTGACTGTCCGTCTGCTACTATGTCTGGATGTTGTGTCACACAAACTACTTATCATGTACCTAATTTATTTCATACAGTGAGAGCTCTCTTGAGAATTGTTGTGCATAATTTAACCAACCACACGTCTTTTGTAGAATACTTGTAACCTGTCCAGTAAATTGATGTTGTTTGCTTATTTATCTCAACAAAAGTATTCTCCTCTTCTTTTTTTCAGTAAACCTGTGATCAGACACAAACCTGTGATCAGACACAAACCTGTGATCAGACAGCCTCCATCAAAGCAGGTTGGGCTGGAACTGGACCCTGTTCCGGAGGAGGATGGTCCTCCAGTCTCCAACCAAACCCTCTCCCCTGGAAACTCACGGCCCAGCCAGACCATCTCTCCTTGGGCTCCAGTCCCCAATCACACCCTCTCCCCTGGAAACTCACGGCCCAGCCAGACCATCTCTCCTCGGGCTCCAGTCCCCAATCACACCCTCTCCCCCGGGAACTCACGACCTATCAGGATCTCAGCAGCAGCATGGGACCAGGTCCAACCATTCCTAGGCTTACCTGAGGACGATACAGGTGAGAGTCAGCATCTAAAAGTGCAAGGTACTGCACCATCAACTACTATTTATTTCTGGAATTCCCTAGATACATTTCAGATATTATAATGTACAGTGTAGGGTGGGGGTCAATTCCATTTTAGTTCAGTCAATGCAGGAAGTCCAGTTCTACTCATTAAAAAACAATCAGGAAATGTGGTTCAATGTGCATTTGGACTCTTATGAGTGACTCTTATGACATGCCCACCTACTCAGCCCCCCTTCCCGGAGCCCCCTCCTGCCCCAGGTCCTCTGCTGGCACCATGGATCCAGAGGAGGCCTCACGTCTCCTGGCCGAGAAGAGAAGAGAGGCCCATCTGAAGAGAGAGAGAGAGGAGGAGGAATGCCTGCGCAGGGAGGAGGTAGAGAGGTACGGACGGAGGAGCACCTTACATCTTCCCATCTCTCTTCTACTGACCCAACATTCATCTTCCCAGTAGAAAAATAAAACCTGTTGAGTAATCTTTTTGCTTAAAAGTCAAAAATGTGGTTGTGATTTATTTATTTTTTATACGACGGACCTGCCAAGGTAGTAATAATAATAAATAATATGCCATTTAGCAGACGCTTTTATCCAAAGCGACTTACAGTCATGCGTGCATACATTTTTTGTGTATGTGTGGTCCCTGGGATCGAACCCACTACCTTGGCGTTACAAGCGCCGTGCTCTACCAGCTGAGCTACAGAGGACCACCAGTAGTCTAAAGCAGGGTTTCCCAAACTCGGTCCTGGGGGCCCCCTTGGGTGCACGATTCATTTTTGCGCTAGCACTATACAGCTGTTTCAATTAACCAACTCATCAGCAAAATCTGAATCAGCTGTGTAGTGCTAGGGCAAAAACCAAAACGTGCACCTGGGGGGGTGCACGAGTTTGGAAAACCCTGGTCTAAGGGAGCATTTCACATGTTCAGAGGATAGATTAATTTGTATGGTGATGTGCTGTGGTGTTATGCACGTGTTATGTTATGGCATGTTATGTGGCATCACAGGCGAGGCAGAGAGGAGCTGGAGTGCAGGAGGGCAGAGGAACGAGCACGGCTCGAGGCTGAGGCCCAGTGGCTGGCAGAGGAGAGGAAGAGGAGGGAGGAAGAGGAGCAGAGACATGCAGAGGAAGAGAAAGCCATCAGAGCCACGCAGGAAGCTGCTCTCCTCCAGAAACAGGTGAGGGATGTAGTCTATAAATACAATTTTAGTAGAAGCCCAACTTCGTCCACTTATGTACAGTATATAAAGTTTGTATCAGTGTTAATAATGCAGCATCTTGTTCCGTAATGGCTCTGGTTCTCTGTGTCCTTTCCCAGAGAGAGGAGGAGGAGGCCCAGGCCAGGGACAAGGCAGAGCAGCAGAGGCTGCAGAGAGAGAAGCACTTCCAGAAGGAGGAGGAACAACGACAGGAGAGGAAAAAGGTGATAATGGAGGGAAGACGTGAACTCTGAACTCTAGGCAGTTACAAGAAACATGAGGGTCGTTATGTGTCATATTCTTATCATACTGAAATGCTTTTTAGGATAATCTTGGGGATCCAGATAGTGTCGAATTGACAACAAGGAGCACCCAGGATCTTTATACAGTGGAGCTTAACTTCAATACATGGGGTAGAGGGATGTTAGGGGTAATTGTTGTTGTGTTTCACAAAAAAAACATTATTTTTATAAGGGTGAAATGTTATGTTATGAAACATTTGTTTTCATAAGGGTGTTATGATAGTTTAAATGAAAGCTTTCAAGACTTTTCACAGACCTCTTTTTGTTTTCAGCGACTGGAGTTGATCATGAGGAGGACTAGGAAGACCACAACTGAAGATAAAAAAGTCAGTACAACAGCCTAGTTCAGAGGAACAGTACACTGCCCTGAAGCACTCAGGTTTTCTGCCACAAGTACCAGAGTTAACCTCTTAAGCAAAAAAATAGTTAATTACCACCGTTGTTAAGCATATTTTGTTTTTTTAAAACAAAACAAACTTGTCCTTCACCAAATTGCTGTGATTGCTTTCATGATGTGATTGATTTCATGCAGAAATCCATCTCAAAGGTACAGTGGCTTTAGTTTAAAACTAAACAAAAAGCCCTTGCACTTTCCTGCCCCAAATACCATCCTTCGGAACCATATTTTACTTTTTTCAAAACAAACAGAACTTTCCCTTGCCTTAAACAAATTGACATGATTGTTTTCATGCAGAAGCCGGTCCTGAATGGGAAGTCAAACAGGAACTCCTCCTCTCCAGAGGAAGCCCAACCAAAAAAGAACACTGAGCCTGTGAAGAACGGCAACGGCACTTTAGAAGAGGTCATCAACCTAGGGGTCGGGACGGGGACCAAGCTGTCCAATCTAGGTCTGAGTGGCGTGGAAGACAACATAGTTCCTGTCGTGGCCTTCAAAGAACGGAGGTACTGTATATCTACAGTATATTTATGTCTGTTTGATGTATGTTCTGTGATATAATATATAATGTTATCTGAAGTGATGTCTTGTATGTCGTCAAGCTATTCTTTCTATGGGACATTAATGTATTAATTTGTTTGTTTGTTCGTTCATTCGTTCATTCAGGTCCCTGATAACTCTGACAGGCATGGAGGAGATCCAGTCCCTTCAGAGTACAGGTGAGAACTCATCACCACATCCTCCATCAGCTCATCTATACTCTCTATGCTATGTAGATATTACACTAGAGTCCTGAACGAATGAGCCCCCCAAAAGTCCAAGATTTCTACTTTGGGCACCGCCAAGAGGTTATGGGCTCTCAATATTCAATGTGTGATTCGAACCCTGAAGCTGATCACATAGCTAAGGTCTCTCAATCATTTTTTGGTATGTGCCTCTAAGTCTAAGTATGAACTGAATCCACTGATTTGATCTTATTAACCCATTTCTATCACGTACTCCTTAGAAGTTATCTGAGTATCGTACAGATCAGAGGGGGGAGACAACCCATCCACAAATCTTTCCACAGCTGTGGTGTTTTTTCCTTTTTCAACAAAGAAAGCAATAACTTCAGCATTTTTTTCCTGCCCTGCACTTTTAGAGAGAGCATGTGATAAGAAACAAACATTTCTCTGGAGGACTTTCCTATCTCGAAAGGAGATCACCACCGTTTGGTCACATTTCTCTTTAATCCAAAATGGCACGAGCTGCATGTGGCATCACCATCTACATTCTGAAACACTAGACAGGGGAGCTTGTTCAGTGTTGCTGCAATGACAATGTCTTATCTACTCTGTAAATGAGGGTCCATGCCTCCTAGCTGTAGATTTAAAGTGATTAAATTAATAGTTTGATATGGTGGGCGTTAGATACATTAATACATTGTGTAAAGATGTATTCTGTCTATACATTTTTTACTGTATTGGTGCTGAAGGTCTCACAATCTTGACTGATGTTTTTAGTCATGTGCTGTAGCTTATTCCCTAAGCTTTTCCTAACTATGCTGCTATTTGAGCACTTTGCCTTCCAGTTAGTAGGATAGTGGTGTGCTAGTTTCTGACCAAAAGCTTTTGTTTTTAGTTCAAATAAACGCCACTTTCTGTCTTACTTTCCCTATTTCTGTGGATATAATCTAATAATATTTTTCAAAGCTGCTATGGAACTTGTGTGGTTTGTAGTATTAGAGTCCTCTACTCACTTGAGGGTTGACCACTTGCAAAGTATTTTGGCAGTTCCTTACTTGGAAATTGTGCAATCATTTTAGAAAACAAATTATATATAAAAAGGGTCTGAAGTGTAAAATGTAAGTCTGTTTATTAAGAAGGTGTAAAAACAAATAAAGCAATGCACTGATAAATCTGTGATCTGGTATGAGTAGGTTGTCATTTGTTTCATACACTGCCCTCCTGTCCATGTACAGTGCATTAAGAAAGTATTCAGACCCCTTCACTTTTTAAAATTTTTGTTACGTTACAGCCTTATTCTAAAATGGATTAAATAAAATAACATTCTCAATCTACACACAATACCCCATAATGACAAAGCGAAAACAGGTTTGTAGAACTTTTTGTACATTTATTTGCATAAATATTCAGACCCTTTGCTATGAGACTCGAAATTGAGCTCAGGTGCATCCGGTTTCCATTGATTATCCTTGAGATGTTTCTACAACTTGATTGGAGTCCACCTGTGGTAAATTCAATTGATTGGTCATGATTTGGAAAGGCACACACCTGTCTATATAAGGTCCCACAATTGACAGTGCATGTCAGAGCAAAAACCAAGCCATGAGGTCGAAGGAATTGTCCTCCGAGACAGGATTGTGTCAAGGCACAGATCTGGGGAAGGGTACCAAAAAATTTCTGCAGCATTGAAGGTCCCCAAGAACACAGTGGCCACCATCATTCTTAAATGGAAGAAGTTTGGAACCACCAAGACTCTTCCTAGAGCTGGCTGCCCGGCCAAACTGAGCAATCGGGGGAGAAGGGCCTTGGTCAGGGAGGTGACCAAGAACCCGATGGAAACTGTGACAGAGCTCCAGAGTCCCTCTGTGGAGATGGGAGAACCTTCCAGAAGGACAACCAGCTCCGAGAAACAAGATTCTCTGGTCTGATGGAATCAAGATTGAACTCTTTGGCCTGAATGCCAAGCGTCACGTCTGGAGGAAACCTGGCACCATCCCTACGGTGAAGCATGGGGGTGGCAGCATCATGCTGTGGGGATGTTTTTCAGCGGCAGGGACTGGGAGATTAGTCAGGATCGAGGGAAAGATGAACAGAGAAAAGTACAGAGAGATCCTTGATGAAAACCTGCTCCAGAGCGCTCAGGACCTCAGACTGAGCAAAGGTTCACCTTCCAACAGGACAACGACCCTAAGCACAAAGCCAAGACAACGCAGGAGTGGCTTCGGGACAAGTCTCTGAATGTCCTTGAGTGGCCCAGCCAGAGCCCGGACTTGAACCCAATCGAACATCTCTGGAGAGACCTGAAAATAGCTGTGCAGTGACGCTCCCCATTCAACCTGACAGAGCTTGAGAGGACCTGCAGAGAAGAATGGGAGAAACTCCCCAAATACAGGTGTGCCAAGCTTATAGCGTCATACCCAAGAAGACTCAAGGCTGTAATCACTGCCAAAGGTGCTTCAACAAAGTACTGAGTAAAGGGTCTGAATACTTACGTAAATGTTATATTTCAGTTTATTTTTAATTGCAAACATTTCTAAAAAACTGTTTTTGCTTTGTCATTATGGGGTATTGTGTGTAGATTGATGAGGATTATTATTTTTTAAATCCATTTTAGCATAAGGCTGTAACGTAACAAAATGTGGAAAAGGTAAAGGGGTCTGAGTACTTTCCGAATGCACTAGGAAACTCTGAAATGTCCAACTTGCTAACTGGTTGAACGCGGCATGTGTATAACTACAACCAGTAAGCAAGTCTAAAATGAACGAGTTTCCTAGTTCCGACTAGCACCTGAATGTGGCGTTAAATAATGGTTTGTCAACTGTAAAAGCATTGAATCTGTATAAAAATTTGAAAATATAATACACCTCTTTTCCCCCTGTTCACAAGTGCAATATGGATGTAAACGCTTAGAACACAACAGTGTAATCACTCAGAAAATAAAACGCCTCAATATCATTACAAACATAATCATGACACAGTAGCAATAATCATTGTCAGGTTCAAAGATAATAGCAAGTCAGTTCAAACAGTGATATGCATGTCCCACATCTCAGTCTGTGTCCTGAAGCAGAGAGGTGTCAGTCCGTGTCCTGAAGCAGAGAGGTGTCAGTCCGTGTCCTGAAGCAGAGAGGTGTCAGTCTGTGTCCTGAAGCAGAGAGGTGTCAGTCTGTGTTCTGAAGCAGAGAGGTGTCAGTCTGTGTCCTGAGACAGAGAGGTGTCAGTCTGTGTCCTGAAGCAGAGAGGTGTCAGTCCGTGTCCTGAGACAGAGAGGTGTCAGTCTGTGTCTTGAGACAGAGAGGTGTCAGTCTGTGTCCTGAGACAGAGTGGTGTCAGTCTGTGTCCTGAGACAGAGAGGTGTCAGTCTGTGTCCTGAGACAGAGAGGTGTCAGTCCGTGTCCTGAAGCAGAGAGGTGTCAGTCTGTGTCCTGAGACAGAGAGGTGTCAGTCTGTGTCCTGAGACAGAGAGGTGTCAGTCTGTGTCCTGAGACAGAGAGGTGTCAGTCTGTGTCCTGAGACAGAGAGGTGTCAGTATGTGTCCTGAGACAGAGAGGTGTCAGTCTGTGTCCTGAGACAGAGGTGTCAGTCCGTGTCCTGAAGCAGAGAGGTGTCAGTCTGTGTCCTGAGACAGAGAGGTGTCAGTCTGTGTCCTGAGACAGAGAGGTGTCAGTCTGTGTCCTGAGACAGAGAGGTGTCAGTCTGTGTCCTGAGACAGAGAGGTGTCAGTCTGTGTCCTGAGACAGAGAGGTGTCAGTCCGTGTCCTGAGACAGAGAGGTGTCAGTCCGTGTCCTGAGACAGAGAGGTGTCAGTCCGTGTCCTGAGACAGAGAGGTGTCAGTCCGTGTCCTGAAGCAGAGAGGGCCCCAGTGGACAGGTCAGGAGGATGGAGGTATCTGAATCATCTGCAGTAACTGCCTGGTCTGCTCAGTCTGTGCATGCACCCTCTTCAGCTGCTCCTCCAGCACACCACCACTCATCACCACTGAAAACTCTCCGTCTGAAGAATAACATGACATAGCATAGCATAACATAGCATTACATTGCATAACACAACAACAAGCCGTTGACTATAACTTCATGTACCTGCCCTTACGTTAATGCACTTCAGTTTATTACGTTTCTCAGGACAAAATAACTAGAAAGTAGTGTTATTGACATTAAGCACAGAAATGTGTTATTTTAGGCATAGACAGCATGACTGGTAAAAGTGTTGTTACAAAACCATGACCAACCTTTCTTGAGGTTGCATAGAGTAACAATACTCAGCTGTTGGAATCTCACTTCCTGGTTCTTGAGGTACATCAGGATATATTCAGAGATGGCAGCATAGTGTGGTTTCAGTAGTTGGATGACATGGTCTGTTTGATACAGTGAGGGAAAAAAGTATTTGATCCCCTGCTGATTTTGTACGTTTGCCCACTGACAAAGAAATTATCAGTCTATAATTTTAATGGTAGGTTTATTTGAACAGTGAGAGACAGAATAACAACACAACAATCCAGAAAAACGCATGTCAAAAATGTTATAAACTGATTTGCATTTTAAATGAGGGAAATAAGTATTTGACCCCCTCTCAATCAGAAAGATTTCTGGCTCCCAGGTGTCTTTTATACAGGTAATGAGCTAAGATTAGGAGCACACTCTTAAAGGGAGTGCTCCTAATCTCAGCTTGTTACCTGTATAAAAGACACCTGTCCACAGAAGCAATCAATCAATCAATCAATCAGATTCCAAACTCTCCACCATGGCCAAGACCAAAGAGCTCTCCAAGGATGTCAGGGACAAGATTGTAGACCTACACAAGGCTGGAATGGGCTACAAAACCATCGGCAAACAGCTTGGTGAGAAGGTGACAGTAGTTGGTGCGATTATTCGCAAATGGAAGAAACACAAAATAACTGTCAGTCTCCCTCGGCCTGGGGCTCCATGCAAGATCTCACCTCGTGGAGTTGCAATGATCATGAGAACGGTGAGGAATCAGCACAGAACTACACGGGAGGATCTTGTCAATGATCTCAAGGCAGCTGGGACCATAGTCACCAAGAAAACAATTGGTAACACACTACGCCGTGAAGGACTGAAATCCTGTAGCACCCGCAAGGTCCCCCTGCTCAAGAAAGCACATATACAGGCCCGTCTGAAGTTTGCCAATGAACATCTGAATGATTCAGAGGAGAACTGGGTGAAAGTGTTGTGGTCAGATGAGACCAAAATGGAGCTCTTTGGCATCAACTCAACTCGCCGTGTTTGGAGGAGGAGGAATGCTGCCTATGACCCCAAGAACACCATCCCCACCGTCAAAAATGGAGGTGGAAACATTATGCTTTGGGGGTGTTTTTCTGCTAAGGGGACAGGACAACTTCACCGCATCAAAGGGACGATGGACGGGACCATGTACCGTCAAATCTTGGGTGAGAACCTCCTTCCCGCAGCCAGGGCATTGAAAATGGGTCGTGGATGGGTATTCCAGCATGACAATGACCCAAAACACACGGCCAAGGCAACAAAGGAGTGGCTCAAGAAGAAGCACATTAAGGTCCTGGAGTGGCCTAGCCAGTCTCCAGACCTTAAACCCATAGAAAATCTGTGGATGGAGCTGAAGGTTCGAGTTGCCAAACGTCAGCCTCGAAACCTTAATGACTTGGAGAAGATCTGCAAAGAGGAGTGGAACAAAATCCCTCCTGAGATGTGTGCAAACCTGGTGGCCAACTACAAGAAACGTCTGACCTCTGTGATTGCCAACAAGGGTTTTGCCACCAAGTACTAAGTCATGTTTTGCAGAGGGGTCAAATACTTATTTCCCTCATTAAAATGCAAATCAATTTATAACATTTCTTACATGCGTTTTTCTGGATTTTTTTGTTGTTATTCTGTCTCTCACTGTTCAAATAAACCTACCATTAAATTATAGACTGATCATGTCTTTGTCAGTGGGCAAATGTACAAAATCAGCAGGGGATCAAATACTTTTTTCCCCTCACTGTATATGAGCAACAAGAAAAACGCATGTACAGATGTAGGATCTTAATGTGACCTATATTGTCAAAGCAAAATAATCCTGCAGCAACAGGATTTGAATGCTTAGTCCATAATGTTACTTGATCGGTGGTTAGGCTTTTAGCAATTACATGAAAAGTGCAATACTGTTAATATAACCATGTGTAAGTGTGGGCTTTCAGGGAATTTATGTACATCACAAAGCTCATCTTCATTTCCAGCAACAAAAGAGTGATCAAATCAAGATCTTACATCTGTATGAGCACATATGGAACAATCTTGCTTATACAGACACAGTATAGCATTTAAGAGAAAATATATGTATTATTGATAGTATTACACTATCAATCTTTGTGCTAGTCACAGATAAAATAAAGGGACTAGACAACAAACAAAATACATGCATATTACCGTTCATCTTTAGTTTGCTGATGATGGAAGCAGACCTATAGGACAACTCTGGATTGTCCATTTGTGCAGAGAACTTCACCAGACTTGAAACATGTTCAGGAGTAATCTTTGTGGCCAAATGAGATTGAAGTAAGTCTGAAAAGGGAAGACAAAAGTTGTAATAGAGGTGAGGTGACATAAGATAAATTAAACTGGCTTATGAATTGTATTCTCACCCCAGCTTGTCAGGTGATGTAAACAGGAAGTGACGCACAGAACGGTCTCCTCTGAGGTCACACTGGACACAAGGGCCTTGAGAAGTCCTGTTAAACACTCACTGTCCATAACAGCCTGTAGACAACACAAGAAGGCTTGATCATCACATGTCCATATGAATGAAAATTCATTTAATATGGCTTCCAATAATCACTGCATTCATATGATGTTTTTACAATGACATCACATGACCAGGTCAGAGTCTGGATAATCATCTTAAAAAGTACCATTCTAGGGATGCTAAAAGTTAACATGTGACTGAACATATAGATGGAAACCACATCTACATTCCAATGTCCATACTAGCAGACCAGTGAGAATGAAGCAATGTTATGGACATGCATTCTACATAATATGGACATTGGAACAGCGCCTCATATTCTAGTGAGTGAATGAGTGAGTGACATGGCAGCTGTTATTACCTGCTGTCCCTCGCTGGTGCTGCTCAGGTTGGTGATGATAACAACACTGTGGTTGATGATGGAGCTGGATCTGTGACAGAGGAGCAGCTGCCCTATCACCTGAACCAGGCCCTCACTCACCAGGCCCTCCTAGAGGGAAACACAAGGACTACTGATTGCTAACACATCCATTGTAATCACCACCATTATCATCATTACATAATAGATAGAATCCTGTCAGATATGTCAAACCTGGAATTTGAACCAACAACCCTCCAGTTACTAGTCCACCTCTTACTTCCTACCACCTTGAGGCTACTGCTGCAACAAATCAACATCTAGTTTTAAAAGTCTTACTCTATTGGGTTGGTGTGTGGCTAGCCCAGACAGTAGAGCTATGGCAGACTCAGTCAGAGGAGGAGTAGGGGAACTCAGTAGGGCCTTCAGAGGCAACACACAGTCCAAGTGGATCAGCTGCTCCTGGGTCACAACTACAAAACAAAGCACAACACTGCATCCAATCCACAAGGCTCTGTACAATCTGGGTTGAATACGTGCCTAAAATGTTAAACAGAGTGTGTTCTGCGGCTAAACGTTATAATTACCATTCCCTGAAAGGATTTGGAGGCATCTGCAAGCTTGGGATGCATTCTGTAAATAAAATACAAAACATTTGGGCTGAGGTTGAGTAAGAAAACATTTCACTGTGAAAGAGTGTAACATCTGTTGGACATGCTAGTAGATATCCATAGACTTCCAGTCATTGTGCTAACTCTAGTTAGCGTTGGCTCGTGAAACGACCTCTAACTTCCTTCATACTGGACACAGAGACATATAAATGGTATCCATGAGTTCATCTGACTCTGGGTAAGTAGATACAGGGCCTGAATGCCAAAATCTTGAAGTATCCCTTTAAGACCAGCCATTACCTTCTGCACTGATGAGGACATGAGTGTCAGTAGAGACTTCAACAGAAAACGGTCTCCAATGCCCAACATCTTGGGATGATGGTCCGGGACAGTGGCTATATTGCTCAGGGCAGAGCAGCTGTAGAACTAAAGTACAGACAGAATATCAGTTTAGTTCAGAGCATAATAGAAGTTCAGACTGAAGACCACTGGGACAAAAAAAGTACACGCTTGGTCATCATGCTATAACGGTTTTAAATAAATACATAAATACTAAAAAACTGCAGCACATAGATACTTTGATGTGGTTTAAAAGCAGCAATATTTGGCTAGAGGGCAGGAGACAGTGACAGTGACAGTGGATGTTTTACCTGGACCTCATAGTTGGAGGACTGCAACAGAAGTGCCAGTACAGGAATGGCTCCTTCTTGACATAACACTCTCATCGTCCTCTCTAGAAAGAAGTACAGCAATGAAGGCTAATGTAATGCAAGATTAATGGAAAGGTAAAAGAAGGCAGACAAAAGAATGGCCAGATATGGAGACGTACAGTTTGTCTAGGAATTAGTTATGAGGGTTATGAATTAATGTTGGGACCACATGAATAAATCTATCCATCTATTCTTGATTGATCTCTATGGTTAACATTGACACGCGTCACTTGTTTTGAAATGTCAACAAACCAGCTAATGTGTCATTTGAACACCACCCATTGTGTTCATATCCACACAGCAACAACCCAGAATGTGGCAGCAACCTGAGATGTGTGCATAGTACATGGTGTAAAGTACATTATGCACTGGTGGACATAGTTCTGTGCAGACGTACCAGACTGTGTGAGGTTTAAAAGGGCCCAGACTGCATTCTGTTGGACTCGAGGATCGTAAGACTTGGCTGAAACCAGTAGTGGAATCACCCCATCAGCTGACACGATAGCTTCCCGGTTTGAGTCTAAATAAATGGGAGGCAATAACAAACAAAAAAACAGATTAAATGTCATGTCTAGTTTGGACAACAGAGTCATGTTGGGTTAGAATAGAATGTTGAGTTAGAAAAGAATGTTGAGTTAGAAAAGAATGTTGAGTTAGAAAAGAATGTTGAGTTAGAAAAGAATGTTGGGTTAGAAAATAATGTTGGGTTGGAAAATAATGTTGACAGAACAAATGGAACACGACGTCCCACATATGTGCCATGCCTTTCACCTTTCATTAACCAGCCAGAATGAAGCCGTGATCATCTTTCAGCAGGGATATCATACATGTTGTGCTTAGTTTCTTATCTGAGAGTAGATCAGTTTGCAGAGAAAGCAAATTTAGAGAAACCTGATCCTATCGATTGTAAACATGAAATGCATTGACAATAGCACCAGCACTTTGTTGCACTAATGTTGTAATGTTGACGTGTGTAGTGGTGTTGTAACCTCTCAGCCAGTGACATCTAATTTTCCTCTGGGGATCAATATAGTTCAAATCAAATCAAACGTAAACACTAGTCCACCAACCTGAGGAGGCCAGTGAGGCAACACATTGACAGGAGTTACACTGGACAGTGGGGTCCCCAGACTGGAGCATCTCTAGTAGGGGCATCAGCAACCCTGTCTCAATCACCTGCTCCTTACTCACTGGAAGACAATAGTACAGTGTTAGACCTTGAGACAGTGCGTGTGCATGTGTGTGTGTCTGTGTGTACATACCTTTGTTCTTCACTAGCAGATGAACCAGAGACCGAGTGGTGATCCTCTGTACCTCCAGATCATTAGAGAGCAGTAGGGTTGTGTATGGCTCCAGGAGAGCAACAGGTAGAGGATAATCCACTGCAACAAGACAGGATGAGAGGCAATCATGTCACCAATCATATCCCTTATTTTCAACTCTCTAAAGGTAGTTATAGGCTGTACAGGATATATTTCTGCCTACAGACCTATTGGCTGCCTCCATGTAACAGGGGGAATCCATTTTTATCTTCCTGCCCTCATGGAAAACATTTGGTCAGACATTTTCATAATACTGGTCACAACTGTCACAAAGCATATCACTACAACAGCATTGATAAACTGATGGGAGACCTGTACTGCACAGCCGCGACAAAACAGTAGAATATTACAATGGTATAGCAAGCTTTATAATAACCATCTGTCTCAAATAAAACATGACACAATCAGCTACTTAGAATTACCCTTAAACAGTACACTGAATGAGGTGTGTTTGACTGATGTGTAATAAATGAACGCTGACCCATGACTTCTTGATGCTATGTATTTAATGCCTGTAGACAATACAATATTGGATTGAGCAGTGGAGTTAAAACTTTGGTTAGACTAGTGTGCACAACTACACATCCATTTAGAATACCAATACCTGTGTCCAGGTGGTTCAGTAGTGCATGAGCAGCCTGTCTCTCGTGCTGCTCTGAGATATAGGATGCAGAAGTTGCTCTCTTCTTCCGCAGACAGCTGCATCTTGACAGGTCCTTTATACAATCCGTTATCTTCTGTACAAATTCAGATGACAATCTCTTCACATAAACAACGAAGTCCTTCAGCAGTTGTGCACACTTTTCACATATTCCAGTGGCCATCTGCAAAGCAAAGTGATATCAACCTTCACTACAGTAAAACATACATATTGTTAAAATAAATTTTAAATAGGATATGTTACTTATTCGTTGAATTCTAGTAGCAGTGCTCAAGTAGTAGTTTCTTCGCAAGCCATCTTTTGTGTGTCTCTGGTAGAACAAAGAAAGACATGCACCTGCCTGACAGCGTCAAAGCATTACCTGTAATGTGAATGGAGAGTTTAAGACGCCACGTGACATAATTGTTCTCGCCCACTGGACCGCATGTTCCTTTGTGTCATTCTGAGCGTGTATATACAACGAAATATGATTCAACATTCCTTGAAATACAAACGTATGAATACATAAAATATAAATGCATATAAGTTTGGCTATTAATTAATTGCTATCCAAAAGTAGAGTATATTCAGATATGGGTAATAATGGCTGATGAAAACATATGTGCAATTTTTGTTGAAATGTTTGTATGTAAATGTTAAGTTGTCTATTGTTTTTGTTTATGTATGTTTCTGTCTATTGTAAAAAAAAAAAAAATATTACAACAAAACAAAAAACATATGTGCAATGTCTTGGATACATTTTAAAATGTAAACTCCAGGGAAACATTATATCTGAAAAAAAGTTACAATGTACACATAAAAAAAAGGAAAGTGAAATCAAATCAAAGACCATAACTGAAACGTCATCCACAATACTTTTTTCCTTCTCTAACCCTCCAGTTGGGGCGGCAATATAACGTTTGGACGTAGTCCGCCATAAAACCTACAGAAGAAGAAGAACAAGCACAAGAACAAGAACAAGAAGAAGAAGAAGAAGAAGGAGAAGAACAACAACAACAACAACAACAACAACGCAACGCAACGCAACGCAACGCAACGCAACGCAACGCAACGCAACGCAACGCAACGCAACGCAACGGAACGGAACCGAACCGAACCGGTGGGTGGCCACAATCATTGTCGTTTACTCACATATGGTGGTAAATTGTATGTTTACCATGTTGTCGATGTTAGTTTGCATGTCAATTCACCTAAATAAACAATATTTTAAGACACTGTAAAGCTTGGCATCATTGTGGTGACCCTTGTAGCTAGCATTAGCTAACGTTAGCAGCTAGCTATACTGTAACGGTCAGCTAGCCAGCCGGCTAGCTACAGCTTTTTGCAAAGCAGATAACTAGCTAGCTAGCTATGTTTTGTCTTTCATCAGTTGAGTAGGCCTAACCTATGTGGTCAAGATGGACTGGCTAGGTAAGCTAGCTTGCAGACTGTTCAAATACAAAGTTAGAAAACGTCTGTTGCTTGCAGTCAGACCAATAACATTGTATTGTACCCTGTTAGCTAATTAGCTAGCTAACTTATTACAGTACGTTAACTACCACATGCATGTATCTGATTAATCTGCTGCCTTACATTTTTCAGGAGGAAAATCTCCATTGGGTCTTTTGCAAGCAGAATGAGTGTCACTTCAGAATGCCAGCAGGTGAATACACACAATCCCAGTCTTTGCCAAACATTGATTGTATTGTGGGTACGAAGCTAGGTTAATAACTCAATCGATTATGAATAAAGGAAACATAGTAACAGACTATATATTTTTTTATCCAGGTGAAAGTGAAGCCCGAGCTAAAACCAGGGCCAGATTTGACGAGGTCTTCATCAGAGAAGGAGAGTCCGGCTCAGCCAGAGCAGGAGAGGCACGTTGGAATAGGTCAGATCAAGAAGGCTTGGTGGCTGAAATCCCTTTAAATTGGATAATGTTGTAGTCTACAATATTTGTTGTGCATGGTACCTGTGAATTAACTTCCATGCACATAAATGTCTCTTCTCACCTTTGCATCCCCACTCTTATCTTTCAGCTCCAGACTTTGATACAAAACCTTGACCTCGTGAAAGACACAGAGGACGACGATGAGACTATCCTCCAGAACACTTATGACCCCGACCAGGGCAGCCCTCGTTTCACCAAGAACAAGCGCAGGGAGAGGGAGGTAGCAGAGAAGGTCAACAACAACAACGGGAACCAGGACGAGGAGGAGGAGCATCGAACCAGGAGCAACCAACCAGGAGCAACCAATCAAAGGAAAGAGGAAGAGTAAAAGGGTGTGGCCTCAGTGCAGCAGGAGGACAGTTCTATCATTCAGATCGACCAGACTGACAATACTGCTGGAAATGCCAAAACACCCAAATCCAAGGCCTCTTTGGAGTCGGAAGACCCTGGGAATATACATAGGAGAAAGGGTAATAAAGGGAAGAGTAAAAGAGGAGAGGAGGAGGTGTCTGGGGACCAGAGTGGGGCTGCAGTGGAAGCTGAGGATGAGTTACTCCATGAGTATCAGCTGCAGATGGCACAGGAAGAGGAGAGGGCTACCGTGAAGAAGACTGTACACAAGAAGACAACAACGGACAAGACCAACGCTGCCCCACTGGAAGTAGTAGCATTAAACAATGAAGGTGCGAAGAAGAAGAAGAAGCTGAGGTCGTCGTTGGATCTGGAGAGGGAGATGAGGTGTGTAGAAGAAGCTGAGGTGGTCGTTGGATCTGGAGAGGGAGATGAGGTGGTCGTTGGATCTGGAGAGGGAGATGAGGTGGTCGTTGGATCTGGAGAGGGAGATGAGGTGGTCGTTGGATCTGGAGAGAGAGATGAGGTGGTCGTTGGATCTGGAGAGGGAGATGAGGTGTGTAGAAGAAGCTGAGGTCGTCGTTGGATCTGGAGAGGGAGATGAGCTGTGTAGAAGTCTTACAGGATGAACTTTCAGAACTCTAGTGAGGTTTGCATGAACCTGTAAGGAAGCGGTAAAGGAGGGCTTCTCAAACTCTTTGGGTCCGGGGACAACTTTTGTGATAGCAAATTCATCAGGGACCCCCCCCTCATCATCAGAACACAACTCCAGTGAGATAAAAAATAGCATACAAGGAGTTTTACTATGACGTCAGCAGTGCATGGAACCAAGTCTCAGGCCCTGGGAAGGAACTCCTCTTGGCATCAGAATGAAAATTTAGCAGTTTTCAAGCTAATTTCAATTTGAGTTGAAAAATTGACAATTGGTGGAGTACTGTGGATACCAATATCCCTGTGAGCATCCCTGGCCCATGTTGCCCAGGGTTAAGAACATCTTAATTGTAGATTAATAATATTACATTTTATTGTATCACACACTCTAAACTTATTCCATGGATCCCTTGGCCAAAATGTGTTGAATCTGTTGTTACTAGTAATATTCATAAAAAATATATTATGTAACAAATAAAGTACTACTTTGAGAACCCCTGCTGTAGAGGACCTAGCCTGGTCCCGGATATGTTTGTGCTATCTTGGCAACCCTTATGGTCAACCCTTATGGTCAACCCTTATGGTCAACCCTTATGGTCAACCCTTGGCATGACGATGTCCATAGGAGTTGGCTATACAGCACAAACATATCTGGGACCAGGTTATAGGCCTAAATGACCTGCTATTGCATTGTTGGGTTTTGAGTTTGCAAGAAAGGCATTTCACTGTACTTGTGCATGTGACATTAAAACTTGAAACTTGAAAGTTTAAACTAATACCATGGAAAATAAAGATGATAATCTATTCTGTTTCGCTTAACAGTATGGTAGAAGATCTGCAGAATAGCCAGTCCGAGGACATCACTGAGAGGATGAGGTCCAAGGAGAAGAGCCACCAAGAGGAAGACAGAGTAGAATCTTTAAAATCCAAAGGCAAAAAGAAGAAGAAAATTAAACAAGGTGGGTGAAAAGAGAAAACATTCACCTGGTCATACAACCTGCATTATGAACTGTTAGGAATAATGTGGCTATGCTGTTCTTGTAAAGTTGGTGTGATGTCGTTTTTGCTATCTTCAATAACATTAGTTAGTGTGATACTGTTGTACAAAGACAGGGAAGTACAACTACTCTGCTTTACTTGAAAGGAGAATAACATGATAATTACATTTAGTAACACTTATTCAAACTCATTTCATGTACACTACCGTTAAAAAGTTTGGGGTCACTTAGAAATGTCCTTGTTTTCCATGAAAACATACATGAAATTAGTTTGAATAGGAAATATAGCTAAATGCATTGGAAATGTAGTCATTGACAAGGTTAGAAATAATAATTTTTAATATAAATAATAATTGTGTCCTTCAAACTTTGCTTTCGTCAAAGAATCCTCCATTTGCAGCAATTACAGCCTTGCAGACCTTTGGCATTGTAGTTGTCAATTTGTTGAGGTAATCTGAAGAGATTTCACCCCATGCTTCCTGAAGCACCTCCCACAAGTTGGATTGGCTTGATGGGCACTTCTTACGTACCATACGGTCAAGCTGCTCCCACAACAGCTCAATAGGGTTGAGATCCGGTGACTGTGCTGGCCACTCCATTATAGACAGAATACCAGCTGACTGCTTCTTCCCTAAATAGTTCTTGCATAGTTTGGAGCTGTGCTTTGGGTCATTGTCCTGTTGTAGGAGGAAATTGGCTCCAATCAAGCACCGTCCACAGGGTATGGCATGGCGAATGCAAAATGGAGTGATAGCCTTCCTTCTTCAAGATCCCTTTTACCCTGTACAAATCTTCCACGTTACCACCACCAAAGCACCCCCAGACCATCACATTGCCTCCACCATGCTTGACAGATAGCATTAAGCACTCCTCCAGCATCTTTTCAGTTGGTCTGCGTCTCACAAATGTTCTTCTTTGTGATCCGAACAACTCAAACTTCGATTAGTCTGTCCATAACACTTTTTTCCAATCTTCCTCCGTCCAGTGTCTGTGTTCTTTTGCCCATCTTAATCTTTTATTTTTATTGGCCAGTCTGAGATATGGCTTTTTCTTTGCAACTCTGCCTAGAAGGTCAGCATCCTGGAGTCGCCTCTTCACTGTTGATGTTGAGACTGGTGTTTTGCGGGTACTATTTAATGAAGCTGCCAGTTGAGGACCTGTGAGGCGTCTGTTTTTCAAACTAGATACTTTAATGTATTTGTCCTCTTGCTCAGTTGTGCACCGGGGCCTCCCACTCCTCTTTACATTTACATTTACATTTTCGTCATTTAGCAGACGCTCTTATCCAGAGCGACTTACAAATTGGTGCATTCACCTTATGATAGCCAGTGGGACAACCACTTTACAATATACACTGCTAAAAAAAATAAAGGG